TTTATATATGGGGCAGATAGATACATACATACAAAAATAAATAAATACAGACACTCTCATAGAGATAAATATATATTCTAATGAGAGTAGAGGGGGAGAAGAGGCTAAAAGAAGTAATGGAGAAATAAAATGAAGGCCTCTTGGCACATATGCTTACAGACACACACACGAAGCACCTGAGTGTTCAGGAGAGGAGTATTCATGTGTCCTGCCTTCAAGATCCTGACCTTGCCAGCTCTTCGTGATCTGCCTTCCTCCTCTTCTCCAGCCCAGTCTCACAGACTTCCCCCCAGCCCTGTGTCAGCTGTGTTCACTTTCTTTCAGTTCTTCGTCTTCTTTTTTTAAAACATAATTTTATTTATTTATTTAGGCTGTCCTGGGTCTTCACTGCTGCTCGAGCTGTTCTCTAATTGCGGTGCACGGGCTTCTCACTGCGGTGGCCTCTCTGGTTGTGGAGCACAGGCTCTAGAATGCTCAGGCTTCAGCAGTTGTAGCTCCCAGGCTCCAGAGCACAGGGTCAATAGATTTGTGCTGCATGGACTTGGTTGCTCCGTGGCACGTGGGATCTTCCCAGATCAGAGGTTGAACCTGCGTCTCCTGTATTGGCAGGTGGATTCTTTACCACTGAGCCACCAGGGAAGCCTTCTTTCAGTTCTTCTAACCAACCCTGACCCTTCTACCCAAGGACCTGGGAACATACACTTCCCTCCACCTGGAACAGTATGCCTTACTCATCATCACCTCAGAAAGCTTCCCTGGGTCCTAGGGCAGGCGTTGGACTCCCCACTATTCTCACAGCCCCCTACATTCTAGCTGTACTCCTCACAATTGTGTTAACCAACCAGCAGAAAATTAGATGCTCAGAGACTCTGGCCTTGCCCAGAGGAAAGATGTCTGTCCTGGTCATCAATATACTCCCAGACCCTGGAACATCTTGTACATAGTAGGTACTCATTGAATATTTTTGAAGGGATTAATAAACATGGCATTTACGATTCATTCTCCTTTTTATCTTCTCCCTTTTCTCTCTTTTCCAGCCCAGTTCTCCTTTTTTTTTGGGGGGGGACCCCCTTACCTCTCATAATGTTCTTTTCTCTTGGTTCTGCACAGTTTAAGAGTCCCACTGTGGTCTGCTGGGAGCTGTCCCGTGAATTGAGAGATGATCCCTCCTTTGTTTACTTATGGAGGGCTCATTCTGGGAGATAATAATGTAGGTGCTGCAAGTCATTCATTCAAAGTCATTCATTCATTCATTCATTCAAACCCCTTGGGGTCTGTCTGAGAGGAGATGCTGCTCAAACTGTGACTTGAGGACAGGAGCGGCAACACCACAGGGGAGCTTGTTTGAGTCTAAGCCTGCCTGTGGGGGCGTGGGGGGGCTCAATCTTGCTCATTTACTTACTTATTTATTTTGTTTTGTTTTTCTTTGAGGCATTCAGGATCTTAGTTCCCTGACTAAGGACTGAAACTGCGCCCCCTGCAGTGATGTGTGTATGTGTTAGTCACTCAGTCATATTTGACTCTTTGCGACCCGATAGACAGACTGCAGCATGCCAGGCTTCCCTGTCCTTTACCATCTCCCAGAGTTTGCTCAAACTCATGTCTATTGAGTCAATGAAGCTATCTAACCATCTCATCCTCTGTTACCCCTTTTCCTCCTGCCCTCAATCTTTCCCGGCATCAGGGTCTTTTCCAATGAGTTGGCTCTTTGCAACAGGTGGCCAAAGTACTGGAGCTTCAGCTTCAGCATGAGTTGAAGGTTGATCGGGAAGCAATGAAAGAAACATAAGAGGACTTGCAGAACTCAGAAGGGGACATCTTCAGACCAAGATGCTCTTCTGACACCTGGAAAGGGAAGGAGGAAAAGTTGGATGGGGGAGACTCAGATGGCATTTGTTTATTTATTTATTACTTTAAAAATTTATTTATTAATGTTTATTTATTTAGCTGCACCAAGTCTTAGTTGTGACATACAGGATCTGTAGTTGTAGCATGTGGGCTCTAGCCCGAGGTCCCCTGCATTGGGAGTGCAGAGTCTTAGCCACTGGGCCACCAGGGAAGTCTCTCAGATGGCAATATTTTTCTTACAAAGTCTTGGCAGACCCAGCAGGTGAGCTCTAAAGCAAAGAGCAGACTTTGAGGTTTGCAGAGTTCTGCGCTGCGCAGAAACTGAACCAGCCAGGTCCCTGTAAGCCTCCAGTGCTGTCATGGCCCGGGGGCTCCTCGGGAGGATGGAAACCAGGCAGAGCCGGGAGGTGGCAGCAACTGGGGGCTGGCAGCCAACTGCGTCCTTTGCAGCCAAAAGGCAAGTTCTTTCTCTAAGGACGATTCTGCTGTATTCCCCATGGCAGACACTGTGACATCTGAAGGTAATCTTACAAGAAACCTATGAAGGCTAGGAAATGCCTGGAAAGCAGATTTAAGGAAGTGCCACACTTACGGCCTGACTCACATGCCCTTCTAGGACCGTTTATGTGGTGCTCTTATTTTTCAGGACACAGTCTCCCTGAGGCTCCTGGAAGACAAGGTCCAGGGAACCCTTTCCCTTAGGGAGCCCAGAGAGAGCCCGTGTGAACTGACATGGCATCTCTCTATTTATAAGATGTGTGGGTCAGTGAACAAGAGAGAACCCAAAGGTCTCTGAGTCCGTCTCCTACCAGCTCTGCAGTTCCAGACTTCCCAGGGCAGACTTGATCTCAACTGGCAACTTCAGAGTCAGAGAAGAAAAAACAAAAAAACAAAAAACAGCACAGATCTGAGGATGCAGGGGTGTGCAAGGCCCTGATGATAACCAATGATGCCTCTACACACTCATTTTCACTTTCATGCCCCTTTCCCACTCATGCACATCTGCCAGGACAGCCCACTGCACATGCAGAGTTGCACACAGTGAAAACGTTTACCTATGCCAAATGGATATTCACCCTTAAGTTCACTTAATAAAACCACGTGGACACACACTCCTCCAACCCTGACACAAGCTTGTGAGTTTACACTCTGCTATTCCAACCCACATTTGTGCACCCAGCATCAAGCTTTCAAAGTCCTTTGTGTGCGATGCTTACATGAACAAGAGACTATAACATTACATACAAAAGCCCCAACAACCTACAGAAACAGAAATAGACAATCATACAGACATTCAAAAACACAGAGATTTTAGGGTAAGTTAAAATTATATGGAGGCTGTGCCTCCATATATGGAGGCTTGAAGACATGCCTTGAAGGCTATTTCTCTCTTGGCTACAGATGCTAACACATCAGGGCTGGGGCGGAGCAGAACGCCTGATTCCCTAACCCAGAAGCACTTAGGGGATCATCTTAGCCATTCTCCAGCCTCCTGCAGAATGGACTAAAGCCATTAAGTCAGATGGTGAGGGGGAGAGAGCAATCATATCCTTGTATCCTGGAAAGGGGGTCACACATTTCTATAGAGGAGCGGAGTGGGGGAACAGGGGCCCACACTCTGCTTGCTTGGGTTTAAATCCCAGCTTCGCCACTTTCTACTGTGTGACTTCAGGCAAGTTAATCAACTTCTCTGTGTCTCATTTTCCTCACCTATAAACATGGGGCTAATAATATTACCGAGAAAATGGGTTGCTGAGAGACTAGACCAGCCAATATTTGTGAAGTGCTGAGAATGGGCCTGCTACAGCAGAGCAAAGCGAGTATTGGTTTTTATTCTACTCCTGACAATTCTCCACCCTGGGGACTCCAGGCTCCCAGGCTCCTTCCCCAGCAGCGCCCCTCTCAGTTTCCCTATGCAAGCCTCCTTGCAGTCACCAGCTCCTAGCTTCCACTGGCAGGAACGGCTCTCTCCAGGGTCTGTCTCCCTCCTCCCCTTCCCTCTTCCTGGTTCCTACAGATGAGATTGGTGGAGAGAGCAGCGGTTGTGTGTGGTAGGAATAGGAAGCCAGGCAGTCAGTCCCCAGTCTCAGCTGCCTGCCCAGGGAGCTGCCAGGCACGATGTGCTTGGGGGACCACCCCTGTCTGCCCTGGGAATCAGGGCTTTCCCAAAGGCAAGGGCAGGGAGGTGCTGTAAGGTGAATTCTCGGTCAGCTACCTTCTGGTGCAAATATTTGTAGGGAGATGGGAAGAGACAGGCTTCTCCACTCGTCTGAAGATACATATATATCTAGAATACTGGAGTGGGTAGCTGTTCCCTTCTCTAGGGGATCTTCCTGACCCAGGGATCGAACAGGGGTCTCCCACATTGCAGGCATATTCTTTATATTCTGAGTCAACGGGGAAGCCTATATATATACATATATATATACACACACATACATATACATATATGTTTTTTTCCTCTCAAGGCCCATAGCTCCGCCTCTCACCCTCCTGTTTGTAATTTTTCCCAAAGAAGAGAGAACCGTTATTCCTCCAAAGGACCGCCTTTTCTCGAACCCCGGCTCATCCTGTACTCGCATCTCTCCAACACAGGAGGATTCATTTCCCAAGAGTCCACTCGGCGATCAGCGGGTTCCCAGGTGAACTGAAATCCAGAACTATTCTCATCTGGCTGCCCTGGGAGTTGATTGCAGCGCTCTCGGTACAACCTGTTCCTCCATCCTCTCCCTTCCCCTTCCAGGCTGCGCCCAGCTCAGCTCCTCCCGCCCTCGCCCGGGGGCCCCAGCTGCGCCCTCGGGAAGACACCCGCGGTCTCGGTGCCCCGAGGGGAGGGCAGGAGGAGGAGGGGAGGGCGGGAGGGAGGCGGGGAGCCGCGCGGGGTGGAGGCCGGGCCTGCGGCTGAAGGTTGCCTCGGCTGGAAGGCGGCTTTTGGCTGCTTGGTAACGGGCTGCCAGAACCGAGCGAGGCAGAGCGCAGGGCAGCGGCTTCTTGACGTCAGGACCCAGCGAGGGGACCGCGCCAGCCACCCAGCCCGCCTCACAGCGGGGCCGGCCGCCGGAGGGAGAGGAGTCCGGCGCGGGGCGCGCTGCGGGTGAGGGGGGCGCGGGAACCGGTCCGCAGGGGCGCAGCATGCCCCCTACCCCTGGGTCATGGAGATCGCCCTGGTGCCCCTGGAGAACGGCGGTGCCATGACCGTCAGGGGAGGAGAGGAGGCCCGGACCACGGCGGGTCAGCTCCGCTGCTCGGCGACGGCCGCACTCAGCGATGGACCCAAGCGGCCGGCGCCCAGGAGGCGCAGCGGCGCGGAGAGGGGCGAAGACCCGGGAGGCCGGCCGTCGCCACCACCCCGCCAGGAGCTGCCCCAGGCTAGCCCGCGGCCCCCGCAGGAAGAGGAAGGGGAAGGCGACCCCGCCCTGGGCGTGGCGGGGGACCAGGTGCTGGGCCCGGGGTCCCTCCATCACCAGCGCGTCCTAATCAACATCTCGGGGTTGCGCTTCGAGACGCAGCTGGGCACCCTGGCGCAGTTCCCCAACACGCTCCTGGGGGACCCGGCCAAGCGCCTGCGCTACTTCGACCCTCTGAGGAACGAGTACTTCTTCGACCGCAATCGGCCCAGCTTCGACGGCATCCTCTACTACTACCAGTCGGGGGGCCGGCTTCGCAGGCCGGTCAACGTCTCCCTGGACGTGTTCGCAGACGAGATCCGCTTCTACCAGCTGGGGGACGAGGCCATGGAGCGCTTCCGGGAGGACGAGGGCTTCATCAAGGAGGAGGAGAAGCCCCTGCCCCGCAACGAGTTCCAGCGCCAGGTGTGGCTGATTTTCGAGTACCCGGAGAGCTCGGGCTCCGCACGGGCCATCGCCATCGTCTCGGTCCTAGTCATCCTCATCTCCATCATCACCTTCTGCTTGGAGACGCTGCCCGAGTTCCGGGATGAACGCGAGCTGCTGCGCCATCCCCCGGCCCCTCACCAGCCCCCGGGACCCCACCGGGGGCCCAATGGCAGCGGGGCCGCAGCGCCCCCTTCCGGCCCCACGGTGGCGCCTCTCCTGCCCAGGACCCTGGCTGACCCCTTCTTTATCGTGGAGACCACTTGCGTCATCTGGTTCACCTTCGAGCTGCTAGTGCGGTTCTTCGCCTGCCCCAGCAAGGCCGAGTTCTCTCGGAACATCATGAACATCATCGACGTGGTGGCCATCTTCCCCTACTTCATCACCCTGGGCACGGAGCTGGTGGAGCAGCAGCAGCCGGGGGGCGGGGGCGGCCAGAACGGGCAGCAGGCCATGTCCCTGGCCATCCTCAGAGTGATCCGCCTGGTCCGTGTGTTCCGCATCTTCAAGCTGTCCCGCCACTCCAAGGGGCTGCAGATCTTGGGCAAGACGCTGCAGGCCTCCATGCGGGAGCTGGGCCTGCTCATCTTCTTCCTCTTCATTGGGGTCATCCTCTTCTCCAGCGCTGTCTACTTCGCGGAGGCCGACAACCAGGAAACCCATTTCTCCAGCATCCCGGATGCCTTCTGGTGGGCGGTGGTCACCATGACTACGGTGGGCTATGGGGACATGAGGCCCGTCACCGTGGGGGGCAAGATCGTGGGCTCCCTATGTGCCATCGCTGGGGTCCTCACCATCGCCCTGCCCGTGCCCGTCATCGTCTCCAACTTCAACTACTTCTACCACCGGGAGACGGACCACGAGGAGCAGGCAGCCCTTAAGGAAGAACAGGGCAGTCAGAGCCAGGGGGCTGGACCCGCCGGCGCAGGCCAGCGAAAAGCCAGCTGGAGCAAGGGGTCCCTCTGCAAGGCGGCAGGGTCCCTGGAAAACGCAGATGGCTCTCGAAGGGGCAGTTGCTCCCTGGAGAAGTGTAACCTCAAGGCCAAAAGCAACGTGGATTTGCGGAGATCGCTATATGCCCTCTGCCTGGACACCAGTCGGGAGACGGATTTGTAAGGGGGTCCCAGGAGGACAGCTGGCTGCAGGCTGGAGACAGCAGAGACCTTCTGACCCTGGGGATCTACTTGACACCGCAGAGTATTTCAAGCCCACCCTGGTACCTGGGTCTGTCCCTCTTCTCTCACTGCTCCCCTCCTGCCTCCCCCTCCACCTTGATCCCCTCATTTTCCCTCTTCTTTCCATGACCCCAAGGGTCGCCTATTTTTAAAAACTACCACATTCCATGACGCAGGAGCTGTTGAAATGGTGAGCGCTGTGAGATGGACGTCTTTGTAGCCAGTTTCCTATACCCCAGCAGAGGGACAACCCAAACAAAAATGACTTTAAATAGCCCAGATCTCCAGGGATTTTGTAAAACCCCTCCTCACATCCCTGTGCTCCAGATTGGCTTTACAGATGATTATATTTGTGTATAAGGGGAAATATTGTTTTTATGGCTGGAGAGTGGATTTTCGTACCGCAGTTCAGATGGAGATATTTTGGATATATTTTCAAGACATATGTTATATATATGGAAGAGATGGGTTTTGTGACGTTCTCCTGCAATACTTACATTACAGCCGGAGACCCTGGTCCAGCCATTCTAGTTCCTGTGTCAGTAAGCCTCTCTCTTTTCTGAGATGTAGTATCGGTGCTTTGTGTCTGAGGCAGGCAATGCTCTGGAAGAAAGGCAAGTCTAACTGTTTTCTCTTCGCCTTAATTCTTGTAACTTTCTTCAAAAAGCATTTTAACGATGTAGGAGGAAGACTTCTGATAATTCATCCTCTTGAATTTTTATCCCAGGAAATAAAATGTTACTCGATTAAGGCAAGTGTTAGTTTTTCTACAGCTGATGTATCTTTGGAAATTAAAAGAAAAAAAAGTCTGTTCCTCACTGTTTATGTTTCTGGAGTCAGAGCAAACTTGACTGGGGCGGAGGAGGACTTGGAAAGCTCATGGTTTGATCATTGACATCTCTTTGCTGGATCCCCTCTGTGCCTTGAAGACAGAGGGGTGAATTCTGTTTGTCTCAAGTGATTAGAACACAGACACTCCCAGATGGCATAAGACCCAGCTGTCAGCGGGTCTAATGTGGATGGAGTTAAAAGGCAAATGATGACCAGACCCTCCCCTCCTCCCTCCTGCCCGCAGCCCCACTGCTGTCTCCTGGGGCTGGGTTTCCCAGTCTTTGTCTGCAGATTTTAAGCCCTACTTAACATGGTTGTCAGCTCTAAGAAACAAGCCTGGTTCTCCGGGACAGGCGACCTCTCCGAAAAAGTGTAGCCCTGGTGGGAAAATCACAGAGGGAGGAGGCAGCACCTTATTATTATATTCCCATCCCACCCCCAACACCCCCACCAAACCATGGTGAAGCAGAGAAGGGTGAATTGCCTTTGTGGCGGATGGAGGCAGAGAGAGGCTGGAAGGGTTTGTTTGTCCACATTAAGGGCTGGTTTCTACCGATTGTAACCTTGCCCCGAGTAATCTCTAAATTCACAACAAATCCCTTTGTTCCCTTGTCATCAGATGATACTGACAAAACATCACAGCAGGTGTAACGCTGGCTGCAATGTCTCTCTGGGCTTAGCTATCCACCAGGGGTTCCTGATTCCTGCTGTTGTTTTTTTGTTTTTTTTTTTTCTGCTGAACAATCCAAAGACTGGTGGTTTGGCGTCCTCACCAGGGTAGACTGGTGGTCCACAACCACATGGCCCCCACGACCACAGCAAGCTTGATGGCTAGCTCTGGAGTACATTCAAGTTTGGGAGACAGAGGGGAGGAGGAGGATCTAGGAGACTGATGTCTGAGGTTTGTGGATTTAAATGAGATGCCCATGCAGGAGTAAAAGCCTGTCTGTGACCGCCTGGAGTCATTTCCAGCTGGGAACTGTGAACATCGCATCAGAGAAGGAAGCAGAAGGATTGTGCCTGGAGCTCTGTTGTTTCACATTACATGCAGAAATCAAGGAGAGTGAGCAGGAACACTCTGTTTATTTGTAATATACAATCTTCCTAAAAGCAGGGCTTCTTGCCTGAGCTCTCCTCCACACCGTCTCACCTCCAAGCCCTCTGTGGCTTCCCAACTGATGTGGTTTAATGCACCCCTCCTGGCTGGGATGGGGTCATCCCTTCGATTCCACTCTCCCTTGAAGATAAAAGAGAAGACGCTGCCCTTGCCCTGAAGGCCGTTTCCTTTAGGCTTGAGCAACAAAGAGAGAACTGTGGCCACCCAGGCCTCAGATGAGTCCAGGTACCTGGCAGGTGTTGGTCCAAAGAGACAGAATGGCTCTTTAGATTGTCTGGTTAAAGGTACAAGCTTATACAAAACCTCGGGGATGGAGGGGGCGGAAATGAGAGCACTGAGTGTCTCTATTTTGTGTGGGATGAGGGGGCGCTGTCCACAGGTTTACGAAGGGGATGCAGGTGGTTCCAGCGGGACCCCGGTCCCCTGTGGCAGCCTCCCATCCCTTAGTGGTACCCATCCTGGGGCACTGGGAGGGCCCCCCAAGGGCAGTGCAGGTATTTCAACCTGTCTGTCTCCTCAGTGCCTCTGTTGCTATGGTTCTAGAAACGGGTCCCCCGGTTTCACTCCCACCATCATGGTGGTTTCTCTGTTCACGTGATTGGCAGGAAAGGAGTGTGAATGTCAAGTCTTACCCAGGTCACCTGAGGCAAGAAGGCCCCTTCCTGTCCTTTCTCCCCCTCCCCTTCACTGCCGTCCTAGATTTTCCTTCCGGAGGAGATTTGATCTAGTAGTCCCGGACAAACCTTTATCCAGATGTTGCTTCTTGGCTCCCGCGGCAGGAAGCCATCCCTGGGTTTATAATCTACCAGCCTTGGCAGCCTCCAGGCTTCCCAGGTGGCGCTAGTGGTAAAGAACTCACCTGCCAGTGCAGGCGACTTGAGTTCAATCCCTGAGTAAGGAAGATCCCCTAGAGGAGGGCATGGCAGCCCACTCCAGTATTCTTGCCTGGAGCATCCTATGGACAGAGTTGCCTGGGTTACAGTCCGTAGGGTTGCAAAGAGTTGGACATGACTGACGAGACTTAGCACGCACCCGCCCAGCAGGGATGGACCGATGTGGTGCCTTTACCAAAGGACAGCCGCTCTCCTGCAGAGCAGGTGGCCCTGGTTTTTTACCACCTACTTTTTCTTCTCCTGCACATAACGCTGGGTGAACGCTGATCAAGGACAGGTTCAGAAAGAAAAGTCTTAGGCTTTAAAGCCTCAGCTCCCTGACCTGCCCTGCCTGGGGGAAAATGAAACAGAAGACCAGCCCTTGAGAAATCTTCCTGTGGGGTTAGGCTGTGACTTATTCTCTTGTTGATGATCGGAGCACTTCCCGGTGGGGAGGAGCCAGAGCAAAGTGTCTCTCTGGGTGTGGAGGGCCCTCTCCAGAGATGGCAGGCCATGCACACTGAGTGTGACCCTGGTGTGCCCTCCTCTGGGCCTGACCTCAGCAGCACGCATCTGCTCTACAGTTGCTCTGCATGCTGGGCATCCTGGGACGCATGTTAAGATGCTGTCCTTGCCTTCATCTGCTTCCAGTCCCATTGGGGAGGCAATCAGCGTACAACAGATCAAGTCATGCAGGACAGGACATGATCAAGTGCCTTCTACTGATTCCAAAATGAAGTGGGATGGGTCAGGAGTGGGAAGGCAAGGAGGAATAGAGAGAGATGGGCCTCTGGAGGGTTTGAAGGGTAGCTGGGTAGAGAGAAGGGCATGTGGGTTGGGGGAAGTGGGTGGGAGGAGTGGGCTGGAAAATGGCCACCTTGTCCACATCATCGTCATGTGGGGATGGAGTCCAGGGTTGCAGACTGATGCCTCTCCCCAGGGGAGGAGGGCATGGTAATCCTCTCCAGTATTCTTGCCTGGGACATCCCACGAACAGAGGTACTTGGCGGGCTACAGTCCGTAGAATCGCAAAGAGTGGGACATGATTGAAGTGACTTAGCACACACACACACGCATGCCTCTCCCCAGGAGAGGACCATAGTAGGAGTCCTGATTTTATCAATGGCAGAAGGACTCAGCAATTATTTAAAGCAGGGATCAGCAAAAAGTCTGGAAAGAGCTAGATAGTGACTATTTTAGGCTTCGTAGTCCAAGAGGCAAAATTGAAGCTATTATTGTAGATACTTATATAACCATTGAAAATGTAGTCATTTAAAAATGTTAGAACCAGTCTTAGCTGTACCTCCCTGTCGTAACCATTTATCTGTCACACCGCGGCTGCCTCCTGGGCATCCAGGCATGGCTGTGAAGCCCGGACCTGGCTCCCTGATTTGATTTTCCTTCACGGAACTTGCATTTCTTGCAAATGCCAGCCCTGGCTTAAGAAGGGGATCACAGGCTGGGGTTTCCCATACCAGTGAAGACTTGGTTATAAAGATGGAGCTCATTTCTACCTCCTTGTGAACATTAGAATTCTCTAGGTGGCTGTGGGACAGCATGCTTTATTTCTAGGGAGGAGGAAGAAAATGCCAAGCTGGACATCCTGCCCGGGGCTCTGCACCTGGTGGAAGTGGGCCCAGGGGCCAGGGCATAGCCTCCTTCTTCTTTGGCCCTGAGTGTTTTCCTGGATGTGACATCACCCTGGGAGCCTTGAGGCTGTCCTCGTCCTGCCCCTCTTCAGCTGCCTCTTCCTATTGTAGAGATGGGCCTGAGGTTGCGGGGGACAGGACCCGTGTGATGGGCATGGAGGGAAACATATGAATCAACTCCAGCCCCAGGCCTCCAGACAGCAAGGTACTTGCCAGTTTCCCTTTTAATTGGCCAGTGGCTTCTAACGTCAGACTTTGCAGCAGGCGATGTTTTGGCAGAAAGGAATGTTACAGATCATCTGGTAGGTTCTACTCATTTTACAGATGAGGAGACTGAGGCCCAGAGGGAAAAAGCTCCTTACCCAACCAAGGTCACCGTACAGTCCAATGGACTGGAATCATCTCCCCGACTCCTTGGCTGGATTTCTCTGCTCCCTCTGGAAAGTGTCCCTGTTCTCATTAAAGCTGACTT